GTTTAGGACAAAAAGAAACCACCTCAAAACCATTAAATGTGTATAAAACTGTGTTTCATTGTTCAGGATGGGCTCTGCCACACAATAAACCCTGGTTGTGTATGCTCAGTGGGACTAGCAGGTATTTTCCAACAGTGCTGGATTCTTTAGCAGGCAACCTAAAATTGCCAGTTCTGGACCATGTCTCTAAAAGCAGCATGCCCTCATGCACTCGTTTCTTTGTAGGATCTAGTGTGGTTATTGCCTGCAGCAGAAACATACAAAGAACAGACGCTTACTTATTAACATTGCTCAGGTGGAAAAGAAATAGTGTCTGTTAATGCCTTGAACCTATATGTGCCTTTTCTTAGCCACATTCATAGTGAATCACAGTGATCTTATACTGGGGGGGGGGGGGAAGCAGGGAAGAGGGAGGAAAGCAGTAATATGATCACAGCGACCTTGCTGGATGTATTTGCGGAAGAAGCTCATTTATGCTACTGTAGCAGAAAATGTCTTGTACTCATTGAGAAAACCAGTGTTTCTAATGCTGCACTGCTTTCAAAACATGCCAGAGAAGGCAAATTTGCCCCCAGCTTTTACTGCGGCATGTTTCATTTCATTGCTGTGAAAAGCTAGAGGTTGATAAAAGACATGGTGCCATTTGCTCACTGCAGGATCAAATTCCTGTTTTATTTCTGTGATTTCATGCTTGTCATACAGAAGACAATCTTGACAGCATGTCTACATTTTGAAGGGGTTGTCCTAAGTCACCGGTCAGCCAGAGAAATGTGAACTGCCACGTCTCCAAGAGCTGAAAATGGTGAAATGAAACAATTCTGGTAGAGACTGTAGCAGTGAGTGTTTCACCACAAAACTCACTTGCTGTGGTGCTTTTGCTTTGTAATTTAATCAGCGCAGAACTAACTTCACCATCAATATTGATCAGGCTGTGAAGGCTTTGCACTATAGCCATTACTTCCAGGTTACTTTGCATTAGCCTGTGTGCATACTAATGAATGCCAGCACCTCCATGGCTTGGCAGGTTCACAGGGGGAGCCCAGAGTGCACAATAAGGGCATAAGCAAATACATTTTGTGGGAATTTTATTTTTTTTTCTTAGGTACAAACAATTCGAGCAATCTAACTCACAGGTCAGCAGTTCCTGCATCAGCCAAACAGCGCATCTGACAGCTATGCAGATGATACAGGCTATTTGTGAAAGCCTGTTTGACCCAGAGGGCCATTAGCAAGATCTATAGGCAGAATAGCCCCTCCGTCTGAAAGAGCCTTTAGTGCCCTGGGTTGACCTCTCACACTTTGAATCTCTTGTACCATCTAATGTTGTGGAAGAATCCACCCACATAACACTCCCAGCACTTTCTGGCTAATAAATGTCTCCTTGCTTGCGCTGCTGGACAGAATATGACCGTATGTGAGTAGCTCAGACCTCCTCGTGTGTTTGCAGGGAACCTGATGATAAAAATAAAACTGGTTTCACCTTTTTGTGCCATTTACTCCCTGAAAACACAGGGAGATACTTGTGCCCACCTCAATGCAGTCACCCTTCAGAATAAGATGCAGCTTAACCTCAGGTTTGCATTTATATTGCAGCTGCACTGAAGTAGATTAACAGAATATCCTTACACGTGGCTTTGAGAGATCAAGGTAGCTTTTCCAATGCTTGGTGGCAGCTTAAATTCAGTCGTACAAAGAACTTTTTTGAGTCTGCAAATAAGTGATCTAACCCATTTTATACACTCTTGGGGTTAAGCAGCTCGTCTTTATGCAGTAAACAGCCATCAGGAGCTGTGTGGATCACTTCCTCAAATGTGAGTACCTAAATGTTGTCCCTTTTAGGCAAAGAGAATTTCATGGTTTAAGGCTTCTACCTTATCTAACATATACCCCGGGTAATTTCCACACCACAAGGGGGGGATGTGACAGCAAGTTCAGCAAAGTTAAGCCCCTTCATCCTGTCATGATGTGGCCCTGATGCCAGCTGAAGCTCCCCACAGCTGGGTTTCACAATGTCTGGGAAGGGCCAGGTTGGCGTAGCTGCTCCAGACAGGGCCTGAGCCTCCTGTGCCAGCCCATGAGAATGAGGTCTTGAGTCCTCAATAATCCTAAGGCTGTTTATACCATAGGTGATGAAGGGGAAGGTTCTGACACCAGTCAGTAATGGCTTTGAGAGCATAGATAATTTGGGAGTAGGACTAGTGATGTCTGAAAAGCCTTATGTGCAAGTACAGAACTGATTTGATTTGTAACTGCTCAGCACACCATTTCACAGGCAGAGAGACTTCAGGTAGGATTCTTTAAACACTGACGGAAAAAAAGATCTTCAAGGCAGGGAGTGCTTCTTGCTTTCTTAAAGGAGGGCTATGATGCACTAAGGGCTTAGTTAAGATTATATAATCTGCACACATTTTCAGTCTAGCTTCCCCCAGAATCACACACATTTTTCCCACTGAGGCTGCATGAGTGGAATTTCAGTCCCAGAAAAGCTGAAGGGTTTACCTAATAGGAAAACTATTGCAGGATTAGAAGTCTAGGGTGGCTCTGTGATTGATGTGTTTTAACAATTACTGTGTCTTGTTGAGCTTCTTGTGTGGCACCATTCCTGTAATTAACGGGGAAGGACTTTCTAATTCTCCTCAGTGCTGCTCAAGCAGTGCCAAAACACTTGAGGCACACAAAACACCACCAAAAGAGCTGGAACAGGGCTGCCAGGGATTAGGAAGGAGGAATGTACATGGTTTATTTTACCCAGTTGTTGACACAAACATGTCTGGGTTAAAGTAAGTGGGGCCAATTCTATAAAAGAAAGGCAGTCATTGACTTTACATCTGAAGAATATAGTTAGAGAACAATTGATTTTACAAACAGTGAAAACTCTAACTGAAGTGTTGGATGGCATGAAGCAAGAAGAATCGTGGACTCATTATGTAATTAATTACGTATAGATTAGGGTGTGAACATAGTGAGGTTTTCTAGAGAAAATGCTATTTATTGGAACTTTGAGACTGTTAAGTCCTAGAATGTGCAGGACTAACCTTTTGACTGGCCAATATGAATTATATATCATATAGAAAAAGCACTGCTCTATAAAGGTAGCTTACTCACATTTCTCCTGGGGAGAAAGTCAATTAACCATGTAACAGCTTTTTCCAAAAATGGAAGCAGTTCTTGAAATGCATCAAATGAGTGAAAAGGAAGGGAAAATGAAAGATGATCCTAAAAGATACCAACTCTGACTGCAATTAATTCTGTAATGGATTTTCGTATATAATATTTGGGAAATGCAGTTGGGGTTCTGTTTTCTTCCCCTTATGTAAGAACATTGGCAAACTTTAATTGGATCCTCCCCTGTGATGTGCAATGACCCAAATACTGAGCCGAAAGAAACCTAATGTAAAGTAAGATGTCTTTTTAATGTCAGTATGTAATTAATATACAACATAACTCAGACTTAATTGTTATAAAAGCCCAATAGTTCTGTTCACTGATCTTGTATGCATAAAAACAGACTTCCAAAGACAATATACCCACAGAAAATACATGGATTCTGAGAGAAACAAATTGCTCAGGTGGTAAAAGGCCCCAGAAATGCAATTACCTTGTTAACAAATTCTGCAGTGTATTTTGTCTTGCTCCTTTCATTGTCAGCAAGAGAATAAAAGAGACTTTTGTGTCTTAGTTCTTATCGGTCTTGGCCACCTCTGATTCTCAGCTCTCATTGTCACATAGCATTTAAGCAGCACACCCCAAAACTGGTAGAATGTGCAAAGTCTGCCCCCTTCCTACCCCACAAACACTTCGTGCCAAGGGTTTCTCCTCCTCCTGGACACCAAAATCAAGGATGTCAATGGTATAATTTGTACACTAGTTTTGAAAAAGTCAAATTTCACTTAAAACGTCTCAGCATTCCAGTTGTACTATAGAGTCCAAATACAGAAAAATCTCCTAAGAATCTGGTGAGCTGCCTGATTCAGTATTCTGAAAACACAGTGAATCTGTGTAATGTGTATTCTACTGGTGCAATCCAGTCTCCTTTTAAACTATGCCAGTAAGAGCATCTTTTCTCCTCTGAGAGTTTTTCTGCTATTCTATCAGATCTGTATACTGGAATGCTTCTCTTCACATATTCTGCTTTTGACTACTAAATTATGCAAGCATGAATACCTCCAGCAGTAAACATCTGCAGCAAAGACAGCACTGGCAAATGTAGGTTTGTGTTAAAACAGGCAAATCGGACATAGTGCAGCTCTTGGTTCATTTTGACAGAAGCAAACCTTGGAAAATCAGCTTCATATAACCACGGGTGAAAAATGAATCAAATTAGGTTGCATAGAGGAAAACGGAAGCACTTAGAAGAAAAAATAACAATTAAACTGCTATCTAAAAATAATCAAATATTAAAGATTCCTGTAAGATTTTAATCTTTGTGCTGGATTTTTGCCAGAGGCATTGAGGAGAACTACTTTATGATGAGAACAAACCAAGAGTATCCTTTGATATGTTGGAGTTACCCCCATAACTCCATTTTATGAACATTTTGGAAATGGTTGGATTAGTCACCAAATAAAAAAATCAGTCTAAATGTACTTGCATAGAACACTTGCATGAAAGAACAGCTCCCTCCCCAAATCTTACGTTTTTTCATCTTGGCTAGCCTTTAGAACTGAATCAAGGATTCTCTTTCTCAAGCATCATCTTTTCCATTGCCAGTAAACCAAGACTGGTAGCACAAGAAAACTCTAAAAGAGACCACATGAGGCCATTGGTGGTTCATGCTCTGAGATACGAGTTCTTTTATTAGAGCTGTACCTTCTGTGGTGTTTTAAGACTTGCTGCAGTTTCTTAAAAATGAATAAGAATTGTCCTATTCTGAACTGTCAGCAGTTTGGAAGCTTAAAACATTCAGGACATGTCTCAAGAAATCCAGTTGTTCTCTTTGATGCTAGATTAAAGGGCCTGTTAGAAATCTTAGAGCTATGTAGCTTCTTGCACAGTTCCAATTAATACGACACTTCAGCTTTATTCTGTGAATGTACAATAATGTAGAAAACTCCTTGGAATTCCCTTATCAGCTATATGCTATTTAAAAATACATGTATTGGTTTTATATCAACATCCTCAAGCACATTCAACACTCCATTTATACCCTTAGATTTAGTAATTCACAGAGTTCAAGCTTCACAGATTCCTACCAATAAATCCTCAAATGCATGCATAGCTTGATTTAAGAAAGATATTTTACTTGTGTTTCATACACAAAAAACTGATAATCAACAGTGGCTTAAAAAATTAACACTACTCCACTTTTCCACAAGTGTACAAAAAAGAAATAATGAATTTACATTCAACGGTAAAGCTTAATGTCCACTCTAATAATAGTTGCATTGACATTCACATACACAAGCACAGAATAAATATTTCAGGATTCTTATAAGAGCATACAGCATACATACAGTACTTGAATTTTACATAATGAGTGTTAATAGGGTCAGAAATTCATAATCTCATAGAAAAGTTAAACTAAAATCAGAAAAGGTTGTGTAGGAGGTAACACGAAGGTACTGCACAAAGCTAGCAGGTTAGTAAATCCATTTGTGTGAGGAGTTTGCTTCTGCTTCTTCATATGAGGACAGTTTGTTTGCAAAGGTGTATTCAAAGTGCAGATCAATGCAATAGAAAATAAAAAAAAAAGAGAAAAGATATTCTTGTATTTATTAATACATGCAAGAGGCAGCCCCCAAGTCACCCGACAGAATAAAGCTGTTATTGGCAAGTGGCCGATATAGTACAGATGTTTCAGGCAATTTTTCTAAAGCACTTTAATAGCAGCAATTGTAATTTATAATGGCTCTAGACTGACTTCTGTTTGGGTTAAAGGGCGTCATATTTCTTCAACATTTACAGCTATATTTCTTTATAAATAAATATCTCAAATAACAAATAGCATAGTTAACATTTCTTTTTTCTCTCTTTTGCATAAGTGTCGTGGAAAAACTCTGACCTTTTCAGAGACATAATGTGCAAAATCATGTTAGAGTGGAAATAGGGACATAGAGCATCACAGTCAGTTACATTCCTGGGATGTCAGCCCAGCTCTTCTTACACTCTGAGGGCTAGCCATGCCAGGATAATGCAGGGCTTCAAGGGACAATTGTCCCAATGGCTTCCTAGGTAGAAGATAAAACTTATGGTATCTTAAAGAGCTGTAAATGTGAGGTTTTATTTGCAGGGGTGTGTATAATACGTCATGTATAGAACTCAGTATTTCCACACAGTGACTTTTCAAGATATGAAAAGTCTGGTCATCTCCTTTCAGACATTTCCTCCCCAGCCTGAACATCTTTGAACATTTGTGTTCTTTAGGTGTTTCCTCTGTTGCATATTTACCAGCTCTTCTTGCATTTTATAATCTGATCTCATATAATCTATCTGACATCTGCACACAAATATTTCCAATCAGGTAGAGGGTGCACAACATTAAAACTTTTAAACCTGTCCTGTAAGTGTCATCAAGACAGGAGCACAGGAACCACAGTGCAGAGTCCAACCTCTCACTGGCTGTACTGTGAAGATTCTCCTTTTCGGCGTAGGAGAAAGGAAACTTGTGTCTGCTTTTTAGATTCTGAAAACAAGCCAGAGTGGAGAAAAAGAGTTAACACCAGACTTAATAAAGCTTTTAAGACAAAACCTGTTAAGCAATTTAGACAGACACTGTGAAATTCCTGCTGATTTTCTCAAGTCTGTACATACAGAAAATTTGTTAACAATAGGAAGAAGTTGGGAGTTGCTACATAGGAGAAATCTGCCATTATTACAAAAACTGGCTAAATGGTTTCTTTCAGTATAAACCCCTCACTGGTCACTGTTCTCAGTGGTGCTGTTGCCCTTTTCTTTTTTCTCCTGAGTCTTGTTCCCCTTCTTCTTTTTCTTCTTTTTCTTGGTCTCTTCCTTCTTGCCAAAGGTTATGAAGTCACTTTTGTCAATTTGGCTGTTTGGTGGCTCCTGCCGGATGGAGATGATTGCAGGAGATCCTGGGATAATGAATTTGTCTGGCAACTCACCAGGACCACTTTGTTTGGGATTGCCCGGTCCAAATTTAAAGGTCCAGCTGTTGCTGTTCACACCAGCTCCCACTGGGGGGGACACCTCTCCCGCCTCAGGTTCTGAAAAAGTCAAAACAAGCAAGAAAACCTTAAAGCATAATTAAATACCAGCACCCGGTGTTTATCACCTTCCTATTTGAAAGCTATGGCTTTAGCCTGGTTTTAGCCAACTCTTGGTCACCTGGCTACTCATCTGGGGTTTATTGACTGGTTCTTGTCCAGACTGCTCAATGCTAGTATGCACTGACTCACTCCTCATACTGCTGGGCCCAACACATTCTAGATCCTAAATTGTGCCTTGAAATACAGTTGTTTCCTATTTTTCTTTTGACTTTGAAGTGCATGCAATAAGGGATTCCTGAGATGAAGCCTGCTGTAGTGTTTTATAGCATGAGACACAAGCACATGTATTGCATGGCATAACAGTATCTTTTAGGGTGTCATATTTGTGGCAAGCCGTCAAGAATGGTTCAGAAGTAAATACAAGTGCAGTGACTTCTGAAACTGGGAAAATCCCCCCTATTATGTTTCTTTTTTCTTATTGTAAAATTGCAACATGAAGGCTGAAAAACACCAGAGTGGTGACTAACTCTTGATTCTCTGAATCCATATGGTAAAATGGTAGACCACAATATCTGATACAGCCAAATCTAAAGTGAAGTCTGTTCCCATCTTGCAGTATGAAGCAAGTTTTAATTTAATTTAATTTCCACAATTTTGACAAAACTGAGGTAATCAGGTTGAAAAGTTTACATATGTTGCCCTGACAAGGACAATTTCCTATCATAATGAGATGCAACACAAATTCTTCTATGAGAGAAAATCTTAGAACCTGGCTGTTTTCTTTCTTCTTAAACTTTTAAAAATCTGCAATTTACATAGATCCCAATTTTGAATAAAAATTGCAAATCCATTTTAAACTACCATTTTAAGTGTTTAAAGAATTGTGATGGGGGAAGCTCTATGTTTATGCATCGGTGCTAAAGCCCTCAAATTTGATGAAAATGCTCTTACCTACATGCTAAATGTGCAGTATCACAAATGCAGGACCTGTCACACTTGCAACACTCCTAGCCACCCACCCACAAATTCTTGCAATACAACACAAACAATGCCAGTACTACTGATCTGATTAAATCTCAGCATCGTGTATTCTGCATCAGAGCTGTCCAGTTGAATAGGTAAAAATGTTTCGGGTAAAGAAGGAGGTGGGATCTGCATTATTACAAATGAAAGGTTAAAAAAAACCAGCTGAGAGGGACTCTGTATCCCTTGGAATAGTAGGTATGAGCACAGAAAGCAGAAGTCCTTGGTCTCCAACATTTTGCCAGACCAGAAGATGGTATCCAGTAAACCTCAGCTACTAACTGCTCTGTACCCCTTAGTGGTAATGAAGAATCCTGAACATATTTTAGCAGCCATTTCATGAAATGAGCAGCATTATGGGTTTTCATCTTTTATAATGTTGTTCATGTATTTTATTTCATAAAATAGAAAATTGTATGACATGTTTGCAGACATAAGGCTCTCTTGGTTCAAAAGCTAAAGAACACATTCTGCTGCTTGACAGCCTCTCTCTTGCCTGGCAGCAAAATAAACACTGCTGGAAACCATGATTCCCTTTTAAACTTTTCCATAGTTATGCACTATGTCCATGTTACAGAGCCAAAGAAATGTGTATACATGACACATCAGAACCGTCCCTGAGACCATCTGTGCAATACGTTTGGCACACAGAATCTTTGTAAAGGAGGTGATATGACTTCTTTTACAATGTGATGGTTAATCATGTATTAGAAGAGCCTGTACACTTCTTTTTCCCTTAAGACTATATTTAATGAGGAAGAAGATTTGATTTTTAAGTTCTTTCCAGGAACTGTTGAAGTTGTTTTAGTGACCTTAATCTCCCTAGTCTCAAATATCTTTTTTGACATTATTAATGCGGAATTTCCTCTCTTTTATCATCTGTAGCTTTTCTGTAGATTTCCTACAGTCTTAACTATGAACTTCAGATATTTACATGTTTGCTGTTGGTAACAGCAAATTCCTAATAAGACCTTTCATACTAAACGCATTAATATGAACCAGCTTTCATTTCTGCTTAAAAAGTATTTTGGTCAGGTACCTCCATACCACTTTTGTTTCTTTCACATGATAAATTACAAAGGTGAATATTGTGTGTCTTGGCCTTTTACCAAATTATTAATCAATGTCTTTCTCCAGCAATACAAAAATGTCATCTTTCATACTGTACATAATAATTTAAGTCCTGTCTGACAAGTAAATCCTTTCTCTTTCACAACAAGCCCATGCAACATTCATTCCAAACAATACTGGCTCAGACTCAGTGCTTTCTTCCTATTCCTGGCAGGAAAAACACAGTTGAAGGTGACCTCAAATAATTTTTGAGCCATCCTTGCTCTGGCTGGGGAGAATCCTGTAGCAGTGAATAGTCCAAAACCCACTTTGAAGTGTACAGTGTCACAACCCTCCATGCACCACAGTGCCACTGCGCAGAGCTGAAACAACATGGTGTACAGATGTGCCATTTTGATGTGAGCATATCAGGCTGAAGACAGGACATAAGGCAATGATGGTGACTTTATATTATCCACTTTATCATAGAAATGCAGTAACATGCAAGAATAGAGAGTATCCTTATTTAATAGGGTGCATATCCATGTCTGAATTACTGAAATCTAATTCAGAACAGGATACTGATGCTTTAATCTGGTTCTGCCTAGACAAATCCATTCCCTAGATGAAGCCAGTAACATTTATTACAAAGCCATCTGACAGAACGTATCCAAACACAACAAATGCATCATATCTACCTGGGAATCAGGACTCTGTCAGTTTAAAGACTAAGGGGGTTTGCTTGCATTTCTGTGGGGTGTTCTCCCAGACCCCAAGTATGTTAGCTGTCCAGAAAAACTAAGCATTTTAATACTCCTTAATACTCACTGAGCTAAAGGAAACTGATTATCCTTACAGCTGTGTGGAGAGCTCACATACAAAAAGGCAGAAACCTTAATGAGTTAATAGCCATCATTTCCTATGAGTTGGGCTTTAACAAACCCCTCAGGAAATCTCTTTCTGTGTGATTTATCTGATAGCATGTGTGTTTGTCTGTATTGGCAGCCTGGAAGGTCACCATTCAGCTGTACTAACAATGTTGTATGTTTAGGCATTTCAAATCAAGGATAAATGTCACTTACCACCTAGTTTCCAAAGCTTCCTTAAACATCTCTTCTGTTTCACAGAAATCAACAGCAGGAATTTAACAACAAAAACTTTCCATTGAAATGCTGTTTTCCATTAATAGGATTATTTGTACTTCTCTTACATATTTTTCTGGGTCTTATTAAATGCTTTGAAGCTGTTTATTTAACTTAGAGGGAAATCTAAATAAAGCAAATCCACCAGCTATATTTATAGCACTCAATTTAAAACATTACAGTTCTCTTCCTATAGTTAGAGTTCCTACATAAAAGCACAGTCTGGCCATTTCCTGGTGTAACTCAAAGGATTACTTTGGAGACTACCCCTTCACTTTATTCTCAAGGAATGAGAAGGAACTTTATTCTCAGTTCATGCTCAATGACCAAATGATTCAGTTTTAACATGAATGCATCCAGCAGAACCCAAAATCTAGGCTGCACCTGCAGCTCCTCATGCTTCTCCGCCTGTGTGTCTGCATGCTAAAATGGGAGATGAACTCTTCACCCCTTCCATTTCGTCCTGCTCTCACCAAGATACAAGTGTCCCAGTAGACTTTAAATGGAACCTAAAGCAACAGAGGCTCTGCAGTTTAGTAGATCATGTACTTAGTTGGGAGGAAAGGACTTCTAGGTTGTCTTTCAAAATACTTCTTTTTCTATTCTGTGACTGTTGTCTGAAATACACAGTCAGATTTACATGCAACAAACCTCCACATCCTAAAATTGCCTATCTGAAAGCTTGAAGCAGTAGGGTATGGTGCTAGCTACTTTTTCCTCCTCCAGATGCATTTATGGGTCATACACTGTAGCCCTCTACCTCACAGGACTTGAAAAACATACAAATCTCAGTCAACAGGTATTAGTTTAACAAGTCCTAATTGCTCTGACAGCACCTGATTTCCTACACATTGCAGATAGGAAGCATCATGTGGATGTCACAGGCTCCAAGATCCCAGAAAAGAGCAGGCTGCAGGTGAGCTGTGTCACCTCGCTGGGCACTGAGCTTCTCCTTTGCATGCTCCAGGCATTCCTGATCTCAGCACACAGGTTTTCAGAGGTACCTAATTCTGCCCATGCTCAGAGCCAGCAGCCCAGGCACCTACTACAAGGAACAGGGTCCCTAAAATTTACCTTGTAGTAGCTGTGAACACCTGAATTTATTTTTCTTACATGTCAGCCACACAGTAAGGTAGCTCTTCCCTAAATTCAGCCACCAAAGAAGTAGGCATCCATTCTGAACTAATTTATTTCTTGTTACAGTCTGTAAAGAGAGGCAGAAGGCAGTTCAACCCACTTAGCTTAAAAGCTTGGTTTTAGATACAGTGAGTTTTCTCTCCCCTCTCTGCTGGAGCTGGATTACTTTTGCTTCTTTACCTACAGATAAAACCCAGACAGCCAATTTAAACTTTCGGGTGGCTAGTGCAAAATAAGCTGAATTTCACTCTTGGCAAGCTAAGCAGCATCATGACTTGGGGGATGTTGCATTAATGACCATGTCAGAGAATGTAAAAAAAAAAAAGAAGTTTGAAACTAATCTCTCTAATAGTAACAGCCACAAAAATCGTTGCAATTATTTGCAAGATGAAGCCACTTCCTCAGCCCTAACCCCTTCATGGGATTTTCATTTAGGCAGGCATTGGCATCCCCTGCTCAAAAATACCTCAAAAAGCTCAGCTGTGTCATTAAGGTCCCACCATTTCCATCCCTTAAAAGGCTTCATTTGAATTGCAACAGCAGGGACACCAGGACACCATTAACAGTTTAGGTCTTCAGTGATACTGTGCTGTAAAACTCCAAAGCACAGGTCTGTCACTGAGATTTGCAGCACTGTCTTTTCAG